GGACATCTTCATCTTCCTCTGATTTAATGACCAATTATATATCAAAGAAGGAGTGAGAAACGGATGACCACTTTTTTGGCTCTGTGTCCTCTCAAGTCGTGTTGCCGCATTTAGCAGTGTTTCCTTTTGTAAAACTTGTAATTCTTGTGTTCAGTATACCAAATCAGTATAGAATTCTTTATTTGATTAAGCAACCTTGTCTCCTGTCACAACTCTTGTGCATCGGCAGAACAATGATAAAACTAATTATTATGATAGTAATAATTAGTAATAACAATAAACAATAATAACAGCAACGACGACAAAAGAAAAAAAAGTGAATTAAGGAATAATTAAATTAATTAATTAAGGAATAAATCAACGAATAAATTAAGGCATAAATCAACTAATTAAACAAACAAACAAATACACACCATAACTAAAAAGAAAAAGAAAGAAAGAAAAAAGGCCAACTAATTAAACAAACAAATACACACCATAACTAAAAAGAAAAAGAAAGAAAGAAAGATAAAAGTCCAACTAATTAAACAAACAAATACACACCATAACTAAAATGAAGAAGAACAAGAAAAAAAATCATTCAACAAACAAACAAACAAAAAAAAACACCATAACTAAAAAGAAGAAAAAAGGCCAACTAATCAAACAAACAAACAAATACACACCATAACTAAAAAGAAGAAAAAAAGGCCAATTAAAACAAACAAACAAATACACGCCCTAACACAAACACACGCACAAAAAGCCTACGGAATAATAATAAAAACAAAACAAAAACAAAACAAAAAAACAGATCCTACTCACCCACTCGATAATTGGCAGTGAACCCACGACCGGTGATGGAATGATCAGAGTGGAATGAAACAAACAGCTGATTGGATGACGAAATCGTGGCCGTCGGTAGATTGGTTCCACACCATCTGCTCATGACTGGGCTCTCGGCACTGCCCCCGTCGCGGATCTGGGGGATGGTGAGGAGGGTGATGATGATGGTGTGGGGAGGAGGAAGGAGGGAGGATTAGATGGTGAAGGAGGAGACGAAGGAGATGGAGGAGATGAGGATGGAGAAGGAGATGGAGGAGATGAGGATGGAGTAGGAGATGGAGAAGAAAATGGAGATGGAGATGGAGAAGATGAGGGTGGAGAAGGAGGAGATGGAGAAAATGAAGATGGAGTAGATGGAGAAAGAGATGATGGAGATGGAGAAGAAGGAGATAGAGATGGAGAAGAAAATGGAGATGGAGATAATTTAATTCTTTCTAAAGATTATTGAACAAAATACAATCACAAACCTTCGAAAAAGATTAATGTTGATGTGAAAAGACCAGTCTTTTATGTAAAACTTTGAAAAAGATTACCGTTGGCGAAAAAAAATCTTTTTCCTTTACGTAAAACATTTGACAATGTTTAAAGTTGCGGAGAAAGTCCATTTTTTCTAAGTAAAAATTGAAAAGATTACCGTTAACGAGAAAAATCTCTTTTTCCCTTTACGTAAAACATTTGAAAAAGATTAACGTTGCCGAGGAGAGACCCTTTTTTTCCCTTTACGTAAAAGTTGACAAAGTTTTAACGTTGCAGAGAAAAGACCCTTTTTTACGTAAAACATTTGAATAAGATGAACACTACCGAGAAAAGACCAATACTTCTTTTCCTTTTTACGTAATAATTAAGCGTGTCTTCGGGAGGACCTTTACCTCCACATAGTCAAAACGACAGCGGCTGCCGAACGAAGGTCCCTCCAGGTGGAACTCGGTGAAGTTGAGCTGGATGACCTCGCCGGGGGGCACGCGGATCAACCACTCGCACAGGATGTTGTTCTGGTACCGCTCGTTCAGCGTCGGCACCGAGAACTCGTCCATGTCGTTCGTCAGCAGACCTCCGCAGCCGGGGATTCCTGGAGGGGGGGAGGGGGGTGAGAGTGAGAATGGGCCGTGGGTGGGTGGGTGCGGGTGGGGGAGGGGGAGAATGGGTCGTGATTAATCAATTTATCTATTTTCAGGGGAGGTGGGAGGGCGGAGGATTTCATACAAATGCCGACGCACTTGTGTGCGTATGAACATATATATATTTATATATATATATATATATATATATATATATATATATATATACATATATGTATACATATATATGTATACATATATATGTATACATATATATATGTATACATGTATATATATACATATATGTATATATGTATATCATACATATATACATAATATATACTGTATACGCATGCACACACACACACACACACATATATATATATATATATATATATATATATATATATATATATATATATTATATATTATATATATATATATAATATATATATATATATATATATATATATATATAATATACATATAATATATATATATACATATACATATTATATAATATAATATATATATATATATTATATATATATATAAACTTTTTTTCCTATATCATTTTCACTTTTATATAATTATCATTATTATCATCATCATCGTTAACATTATCATCATCTTTTTCCGTCTCACTTCAAGGACGGCTTACCGGGCTCGGAGCTGAAGGCGATGTGGAAACCTGTGTCGGTCAGGACGTAGTCGGAGTGGAAGTGCAGGAAGGCCTCCGAGCCCGAGGTGGTGAGGGGCGGCGGCGCCTGCGAGGAGCAGTACTTCGCCAGGAGGTGTCCCGAGTCCGTCAGTCCGTCGCGGACCTTTTTTGGAAGTGCTTTTATGAGTATAGATTTTAGATTATTTTATTTTAATTTATTATTTTATTTAATTTTATTATGTAGATTTTATTTATTTTATTTATTTTTGATATCTGACTTCTTTCTACTTTTCAGGATCATCGATTACCTCACAGTGTCATAAGATACAAATGATACACATTTTGTGTATATAAATGTATATATTCATATCTATCTATCTATCTTTCTATCATCTATCTATCCATCTATCTATCTATTTATCTATCTATCTATCTATCTATCTTTCTATCTATCTATCCATCTATCTTTCTATCTATCTATCCATCCTATATATATCTATATCTATATATATATATGAGCATGATAGAACATACACTTGAAGCACAGCCATGTAACACACACGCTGTCCCCCTCGAGATCTCTAACCCCTTACTTCTAGGTAGTCATAGCTGCAGTTGGCGTGTTCCTCGATCTGCAGCGTTGCGAAGTGGAACCTGATCCTCTTTCCAGGGTTGACCCTTATCGTCCAGTAGCAATCGCGCAGAGCCGGGTAACGCCCAGGGTACCCGGGGGAGTTTATAGAACCGTATTCCAGGTGCCTGATGTCACCTCCGCACTCTGTTTGTAAAGGAGGGAAGTCCATTCATTAATCCTAGCCTCTGATGTCACCCCCGCACTCTGTTTATAAGGGAGGAAGTCCATTCATTACCTAGCCTCTGATATTACCCCCTCACTCTGTTTATAAGGAGGGATTAATCAATCCTAGCCTCTGATGTCACCCCCTAACTGTGTTTATAAGGAGGGAAGTCCAATCATGATTATTAGGTAATGATAGGTAAACAAATGCGCAGAGAGTGGGAATTATAGACAGCGTATATGATATGTACAGCCTGCTTGGAGAGAAGTTTGCGACCGCATATTCATTCAGGTATGTTGACAATAATGATAACCCACAGTCATTCTAAATCGTCTGTATGAAAAAGCCATGTGGATGACACATCTGGTTTTGATTGCAGAGCACATGGGTGTCGTACATCATAGTACTACAATCACTAACAATATGCAAGTTTATGCACATGCACTTATGTATGTACATGATAATAATAACTACCTGGGTCAGTAGTATCCCACGTGAAGTTGAACCTCGTGTGAATATACCTACCTGGGTCGGTAGTATCCCACATGAAGTTGAACCCCATGTGAATATACCTACCTGTGAAGTTGAACCCCATGTGAATATATCTACCCGTGAAGTTGAAGTTGAACCCCACGTGAATATACCTACCCGGGTCAGTAGTATTCCACGTGAAGTTGAACCCGGTCGCGGCGTAAGACTCGTCGGAGCGGAACCAAAGGTAAATGGAGTTGTGTGTACTGATAATGGTGCCATTGTTGCCCGGAAGCGTCGATCCGCAGTAGCTTCCAATCAGCTGCGCCGTCGGCCTCCTGCCGTCGTGGACCTTTGGGGCAGGTTTGAGCTTTAACATTTTGAGTTTTATAGGTTTGATCTTTAACATTTTGACATAATAGGTTTTAGTTTTATCATAGTTTTGAGATTTATAATAGGTTTGAGTTTTAACATTTTGACATAATAGGTTTGAGTTTTATAATAGGTTTGAGATTTATAATAGGTTTGAGATTTATAATAGGTTTGAGTTTTAACATTTTGAGTTTTATAGGTTTGATTTTTAACATTTTGACATAACAGGTTTGAGTTTTAACATTTTGACATTATAGGTTTGAGTTTTACTTTTTTAAATTTAAAATTTTTAAACATAAATAGGTTTTGAGTTTTCTTTTTTTCAATACTTGGTGCAATTTATATAAGTTCCCCCCCTCCCCTACCTCCTTTTTTTGGGGGGAATCATTGATTAGATTACATATTTTGGATCTTTATTTATGTCGTGTCGTATTTTTCTATACTGTATTTTTGTATCTTTTATCTACTTTTATATCTTATGTTTTATCAATCTTATATCTTTTGTACCTTTTGATAGTCCCTCCCCTCTTCGTTCAAGCAAACACATGTAATAAACAATGCAGAAAAATGAATATATATATATATATATATATATATATTATATATAATATATATATATATATATATATATATATATATATATATAAACAAAAAATTACCTGCAGCCAATCATATCGACAGCTTCCGCCCTCCAGATGGAAGTGGTCAAAGGTTACGTTGATGACCTTTCCTGCTGGCACAATAATAATCCAGGCGCAGTTGACATTGTGGTTATAGTTGACACCTTCGACACCAGGGTAGGCCACCGTGCCCTCG